CGGCGCTCGCGCCCAAAGAATTTTTTCAGAAAGCCTCCCAAATCGTCGTCTGCCAAATGTGCTCACTTTTGAGAACGTTGCATCTACAAGAGTATGGATCTTTTAAACTTGCAGCTCAGGATCGGGGTAAGTTACGTAGTGATAGAATTGCTAATATTGAAGAGGCTGTTTGGAGAGTGTCGAAGCTCGACCGGGCACTGTTTTATCAGTAAAAGATCTTTTTAAGAGAAAACATGTATTTATTGACAACTCTCACGAATTGTTATTCTGTTCACTTATTTATTTTTCCCCCAGCCTGCTAACACAACATCCCCCCCTTTTAAGCTAGGTTACGTAGTCTTTCAAATAAGCAGGCCTCTTTGAATTCCTAGTTGACCGCCGCAGAGGAGGAACAGACCATGGAGGTGACGACACAACATTATCAGATGAATTATGAATTCCTGTAGTGATATTGGTGCTGACTTCTCTGGAACTTTTATTCATTAATTTTGAATCAATGTTGACACTATTTTCAGAAGGCTGAGGCTGAGGCAATGTCGAAATGAGCGGAGGTGGTAAAATATAATAAGGAGCTGGAACTAAATGATATCGGTTGCGCCGATAGATTCCAAAATTAGTTTCCACCATGTATGACCGTGGTTCTCTTAAGACCTCTATTATTTTCCCATATATTCGTAAGTCAATTACCCAAACACTGTCCCCTTGTTTCAGTTCTGATAAATTTCGGGCCCTATGTCTTCTATTAAACTGGTCAATACTTTTATCTTTAGCCTTATCCTCCCTTTTAAAAACAAGTTTAGCGTTAACAGCTTTATTTAATTGACTTGGCAAAATAGGCAAATTTGACCGTAGTTTCCTATTCATGAGAAGTTCGGAAGGACTATATCCGCACTCTAATGGTGTAGTACGATAAGCCAATAAAGCTAAATCTAAACCACCAGGATTTTTTTTAATAAGACTCTTGGCTATTTTTACAGCCGCTTCAATGCAACCATTAGACTGAGGAAAGTAAGGACTACTAGTAATGTGATGGAAATCATAATCATAAGCAAATTTTTTAAATTCACTTTGGAATTGTGGACCATTATCTGACCTTACAATTTCAGGAATGCCAAAGCGACTGAATAATGTCTTCAGTTTAGCAATAATGATGGATTCTGTCATTTTATTTAATTTGAATATTTCAAAGAATCTTGAGTAATAATCAGTCACTATTAAGTACCAACTATCAATTTTAAACAAATCTAGTGCAATTTTTTGCCACGGACGTTCGGGAAATGAATCCTTTAAGAAAGGTTCTTTAAAATTAATTTTATGTTCCACACATTGAGGGCAATTTCTAATTAAATTTTCAATCTGTGAAGAAAGACCTAACCACCACACAGACGTTTTCGCTCGTGCGCGACATTTAACAATCCCCTGATGTCCGCGATGTAAAAATTCTAAACACCTCAACTGCAAAGAACTAGGAATAATTATTCTATTATTTCGCAACAATATATCGTGGACAAAAGAAATTTCAAATCGATATTGGTACTAAGGACGTATATTCTCCTCTAATTTAGTCTTAGCAGGCCACCCAGTTATAGAATAATCCTTTAACGTTTGACATATAGAGTCTTTGGCCTGTTCTTGTTTAATTTCCTCAATAAAGTATGGTTTTACTTGAACAGATTGTACTATCAAATTAACATGTGCCTCCGTTTCATGAGCCAACTCGTCATCCTCTGGACTACGCGAATCTCCTGAAAAATTTCTTGGTAACGCATCAGCTACTATTAGATTTTTTCCTGGTACATAATAAATTTCATAATCAAACCTCATTAATCTAATTCTGAAACGAGTTTTGTTTCTTCATATCACCCGTACTGCTACCATTGTTAGCATTTCTTGTCTCAACTGACAGTTTTGCAACTTGACGCTGACGCATGTCGTTTTGAAGTTCTCTGTTCTGCTCAGCCTGAATTTCAGCTTGTTTTGCGGCCAATACGCAATCAGATAAAGTTAAATTTGTTTGCAATTGTAAACGCTCACTAGTCCGGGAGTCCAGCATTCCAACCACTATGCGATCTCTTATCAATTCTTCCTTTAGTGCTCCGTAGTCACAACTTTCAGCCAGAGAATGAAGACTAGTAATGAAACTCTCCACTGACTCCCCCGGTTTCTGAACTTTGGAATTAAATTTGTAGCGCTCAAAAATTATATTTCTCCTTGGAACAAAGTGATTTTCAAAACACTGTAATGTCTCAGCATAACTCTTAGGTGTAACTGCAGCTTGCAATAAAATATCTTCAGATTCTTCTCCCATGATATACACCAATAAATTTATTTTCTCCTCTTCCAGCTTATCATTCTGTCCCGATATGGACATATATCGCTCAAACCGCTTTCTCCATTGGGGCCAAGTATTAGGCATAGAAAATGTAAATTTTTCTGGTGGACTAACATGAGCTTGCATACCCATCACCGGAGTATGCGTTACCTTTACCGGATTAGGTGTTCCTTCCGGTCCAGTCATGATCTATGTAATTTCAAATTACTATTTATATCTTCTCTGCTATTTCTTCGTATGATTTTAACGAATATACGATCTTTTTACCGCTGCCACCATGTTTTATCAGTAAAAGATCTTTTTAAGAGAAAACATGTATTTATTGACAACTCTCACGAATTGTTATTCTGTTCACTTATTTATTTTTCCCCCAGCCTGCTAACACAACATAGCACACATCGCTGTCCAGTGTGATGTATCGGAGAGTAGTATTTGGAGGATACTCAGAGAACAACTGTACCCCTTTCAGGACCAGAAAGATCAGTTATTGAAACCAACAGGCTTACCACGTAGGAAAAAGTTTTGTGAGTGGGTTAATAGAAAAATAAACGAACAAGCAAATTTTGTATCTTTTATACCATCAACTGATGAGGCCGGATACACGAGGGAAGGTGTAATCAATTTCATTTGGGCCGATGAAATCCGTACGCCATTAGGGAGCCGCATTTTCAATTTCTCTCAATGTCTGTCATGCTGACAAGATTAGGAAAATACGTATCCTAGTAACTGTTTTTGACCATAAATTATTAATTATAATAATTATTATTAGGGGCGAATTCTGTATCTTAACCTTTTAATAAAGGATCCGTTTGTTAAAGGCTTTATCGTAAAGGAAATGTGAAAGTGAATCCTTTAATATCTCATTCTCTATTGCATCCGTTGAGGAGAAACTGGTGCGTTAGTTCGCCTTTATGTAAAGGAACAAACGGATGTTTTTACTAAGATAGTATATGCTTTTAGAAAAGAAACGCTTGCGTTTACCATTGTGTCAAGAGAGATGGAATCTATTGTACATAACTTCAAATTTTCACAATATCGGTATGGTTGGTGTGACGGGCTCAGGAGATTTTTAAACTTAACTTTTGTTAATTTATGAGATATGAAATTCTTGTCGTGGTCTTTGTGCCTGACATATAGTAAAAATATTAGGATAATAATATAATAATTAATAAATAATATAATATTATATTATATTATTTGCTCGTAGGATGGTTCGTGATGATAGTAACATTAAAAACTTAAAAAAATTAAACATTTTATGAAATCATGCACATTTTTGGAGATATCAGCACTGGCCCCTTATGTCAATGTGGTCAGGGGAGTCTGGCCTTTAATGGATCTTTTGGTCTTTTATGAGTGTAGACCCCTCCAAAGGAGTTGTTTTTGCAAAGTTGTTTATTGGTTACCAGTCTATTTGGAGCATCGTAAAAGTGTTTGTATTTCCACCAAATTCGGCTTAATTAACTTTAATATGACGATTTTAGTGCTTTTTGCTAATATTAACAAATTTAAACCATGAAACTATAAAACTGGACAAACACATCATTGTTCTGACTCATAGTTACCTTTATTGTAATTCCTCTAGGATAAATAATCACAGATTCTCCATTTCTTCCTTTTTGTTTAGAAACGGTCATTATATAAAACTAGTGAAACTGACAGATAATTTGCATAAAGTGACACCATACGTTGCAGGAATTACAATAAAGGTAACTATGAGTCAGAAGAATGATGTGTTTGTCCAGTTTTATAGTTTCATGGTTTAAATTTGTTAATATTAGCAAAAAGCACTAAAATCGTCATGTTAAAGTTAATTAAGCCCAATTTGGTGGAAATACAAATACTTTTACGATGCTCCAAATAGACTGGTAACCAATAAACAACTTTGCAAAAACAACTCCTTTGGAGGGGTCTACACTCATAAAAGACCAAAAGATCCATTAAAGGCCAGACTCCCCTGACCACATTGACATAAGGGGCCAGTGCTGATATCTCCAAAAATGTGCATGATTTCATAAAATGTTTAATTTTTTTAAGTTTTTAATGTTACTATCATCACGAACCATCCTACGAGCAAATAAATACTCCTAATATTTTTACTATATGTCAGGCACAAAGACCACGACAAGAATTTCATATCTCATAAATTAACAAAATTTAAGTTTAAAAATCTCCCCAGCCCGTCACACCTTCCATACCGATATTGTAAAAATTTGAGGTTATGTACAATGGATTCCGTCTCTCTTGTCACAATGATAAACGCAAGCGTTCCTTTTCTAAAAGCGTATACTATCGTAGTAAAAACATCCGGTCGTTCCTTTACATAAAGTCGAACTGACACACAAGTTTCTCCCCAACGGATGCAATAGAGGATAAGATATTAAAGGATTCACTTTCACATTTCCTTTACGCTAGCTAATGCCTTTAACAAACGGATCCCTTATTAAAACGTTAAGATACAGAATTCGGCCCTTAGGCCCGTTATTTCAATTCATAGTTAACTTATGGTTAACAGTTAACCTATAGTTAAATGCAAAGTTCCTTATTTCAATTGATAGTTATATTTAAACCTGAAGTTTACTCATAGTTAACTTTACCAGCACATGTAGTATGAGTTAACTGACAGTTTTCAATTACACTACGACAAATGTCATATTTAGTTTAAAAAATGAACGACTACGAACTAAATGCCTTCAGCGACGATGAGGAACTATCTCTGAGGAAAAGAAGAGTGGTTCGAGAAAGAATAAACCACTTTGAAAAGTGGGACTACAAAGAATTTTTTCAGCGTTTTCGCTTATCGAAGGGAACAGTCGAAAATTTAATAGAAGAACTGGACAACGTTTTAAGACATCCTACGGAGAGGTATGCGGGTCCTGGAGTTAGTTTTCTTTAAATTAATGATTTTCTTAAATAGAAATTCAGCGGTTTCTCCGACAGACCAAATACTGTTGGCGTTGAGATTTTATGCCACCGGCTCTTTCCTTCAGACAGTTGGAGATTTTAGTGGTGTTCATGCAACGACGGCCGGCAAAATTATACACAAAGTCAGTGTAGCACTTGCCGCGTTACGCAACATAACAATAAAAATGCCATCAACTGACGAAGAGCGGCTTGAATGTAAGAGAAAATTTTACAATATTGCACGATTTCCAATGTGCATAGGAGCGATTGACTGCAGCCATATTAAAATTATCAGTCCGGGAGGCGAAACTGCTGAGGCGTTTCGAAATCGTAAACAATTTTTCAGCTTAAATGTTCAAACTATTTGTGACAGTAATTTAAAAATAATGGATATTGTTCCGAGATGGCCGGGATCTGCCCACGACTCACATATTTTCCGAAATTCTAGTGTGATGACTCGCTTTGAATCAGGTGAATTTGGGGACAATTGTGTTCTAGTCGGTGACAGTGGATATCCTTGTAAGTCATACCTGTTAACACCACTTGCACAGACAAGAACTCGCGCAGAAAATTTGTACAATGAAGCCCAGATTAGAACACGAAATCCTGTCGAACGCTCGTACGGTGTATGGAAAAGACGATTTCCTGGATTAGCAATGGGACTGCGAACAAATTTGAAAACAACGCAAGTAATCATAACAGCAACAGCAGTTCTACATAATATAGCCTGTGATGAACGAGAAGACGAACCATGGGTAAATGCAGATGAACAACGTGCTATAGATTTAGTAAACAACAATCCGCCTGATGTTGATGATATTCGTAACAACAGACATGACAACAATTTCTTTCGACAACAACTGATTAATAATTATTTCAATAATTTGTAACAAAGTGTTTTATTTATAGAAACAAACAACAAACTAAATACAATAATTATTAAATCTACTATTAAATACCTATCTAAATAAATTTAAATTGTTGAATTACAAAAGATTTCGTTTAATTTCCTCTTGTTTGAGCTGTAATTTTAAAATTTTCATTTTCATTTCGTGCTCTTCCAAAAATTTTTCACGTTGAAGGCGAACAAATTCTATTTTTTCTTTAATTAAAATTTCGTTTATGTTAAGCCTCTTGTAGGCGAAGTCTCCTTTTCCTTTGCTTCTTCGTCTAGTGCTCAACTTTGCATTGACTGGTTGCTGCAACATTGTAGGTGTGTATGTGGACCAGTTGGTGTTCGAAGACGTTGAGGCAAGTGGTTCTTTTATTAATGGTGGACTTTCAATTTCAGATGCACTCAGTAACTGGTTATTTTTTGATAGATCGTTAGGAACTAAAATATTATTAACTACACCTTCATCACTTGAAATGATGACAGATGTATCCTCACTAATTATTGGTACCCAGTTTTCTGCAAAATATGATTACCTGCGTGTTTTGTATATATTTTTCAGAATTCATAAGTACCTGCTCCATAATTTAACACGCTGGAACCAGGATCATTAATATTTTCCTCAATATTGGTCCGTGATTGGACGGGGGACAAACCTATTATTATCACAGATATAAAAGATAATGAATACATCACTATCAGCTCACTCACTATCACTATCAAAAAGCGGTGTTAATCCAGAAACCACCTCTTCTCCCAATAGTCCCTTGATGGCATTATCAACTTCAGAAATTTCTTTCAATTCGGCTTTACCTCCACCAGTCTTGGTCTTTACTTTTTTATTGTGGGAAAACTTGGCTTTTGTTCCTTTTTTCAAATTATTATATTTTTGTTTTAAAATTTCACATGTACGAAAGTTTGTTGTTGTATTGATAGAATTAAATTGCGCTTCTATTTCTTTCCACGCTCTTTCCTTGTCCTGCCATAGGACAGCCCCGCTTCGCTTATTTTCAATTACGTTCTTCTTTTTTTCGATTAAACTTACTAGTAGTTGCTCCTCTGTTTGAGTAAAGTTTGGTGTTCGCTTATTTGCTGTTTTTTGCGTTTTTCCCATTTTAGTTTAAAAAAACTAAAGATACACTTCACTTTATTCGAAATTTATTGTTTGAAAATTGTGACAATTTTGACGTAGAAATTACAGCGTTGCCTTTCCAACTTTTAGTAAACTCATGGTAACTAAACTAACAGTAACGTTTTCATTGAAATCGTGATTTGTTTATTAACCACTAGTTAACTTGTGGTTAGAATTAACTAGTAGTTTTCAAAACTGGAGGTTAACAAGCGATTGAAATAACGGGCCTTTTAGTGTCCATGGGTGAATGAGGATCCATGGGCTGGTAACCCTAATTGAGGTAAAACTTAAACAATTTTTAACTTGATAATTAAAAAGTTCCTAACAAAACTCTATTAAAAAAAGTTGTTGAGTTTGATGAGCTCTATAACTGATTAAAATTAATGTACTTATTTCTGAAACACCCTGTATACGTATTAATAAAAAAGTAATATTCTAAATGTTGCTTCTAGACCAGAGCTTTTGAAAACATGGAAAATATGATTCAAATATTTACCACTAAATATGGCTTTTTTGTCTAAATAAGACAAATTAAATATGTTTGAATTAAAAAGAGTATAAAATTTTGAAAATTAAACAAAAAGTAATCCGTTAAGTGATTTTACCAAAAAGTTTAATACAATGGTGGGTATATCAAAAACCGTCCTCGACAAATTCTTGAATTACCTACATGGTCCAAATTAATTTCAGTGATGTTTTCGGTGTTAAAAATGTCAACAAATCGTGGCCGAATACGGAGTTACCGAAAAATCACATCACTCTGTGTTCAGGCCAACAATATTGGTCCTCTTGAAGCGACCTTGTGCGCACCCAATCGGGTTTATGGCCCTTGCAGCCTCCTCGGGTTTACCCACCCATTGTATTGTATCATTCGAAAGCGAGACTTAAAACTTGTAACATCTAAACGAAACTTAACAATATATTTGTTGTTGTGTTAAAACGAAGTTTTTATTAATAACGCGAGACTCCCAACGGGTCTCCAAACATTGGTCCTTCGAGCCGGATTCGCGAGTTATCCGAAAAAACAAAACGAAAAGTGACTTCGCGAGTGAGTGACGTAATCACATCGCCTTCGACACCTGGTCTTCGAGAAGTAGCGACACCAGCATCCATCATCGAACCCAGGAAGCAGCGAGAGGCACTTAGAAACGCACCACCACTTGACACAACGACGAAAAAGCTACCTGAAGTCGAGGACGGCATCCACATCAGCGACGCCACCCTCACCAGGACTGAAACCCAAAGGGGACAGCATCCACATCAGCGACGCCGCCCTCTTCAGGACTAAAAGCCTAAAACAACAGCATCCACATCAGCGAGGCCATCCTTCTCACGACTAAAAACCCAGGAGGACAGCATCTACATCAGCGACGCCACGTCCACCCTCACCAGGACTAAAAAACCAAGGTCAGAGATATCTGCTTCCTATTAATCCCTCACTCGCCCGTTAATATAGAAATTTTGGCACTGGTATTTATTATATGAATCCTCTTATACAATCAAGACTGCAAGCCCAATCAACGTTAAATCTATAAATAAGCGTATTTACCATTTGCACAATAATTTATAATCTAAAATGCCAGCATCAGCTCCTTTAATACGTAGACGGGCGGTAATTAAAGCTAAATTAACCCGAATCGAAAAATATGTTGACGAATTTGACCCAAATAAAAACAATATCAATGAACTTTCGACACGATTAGAGCTGCTCGAAGTTACCCTAAAGGACTTCGAAAAGGCTCAGTTAGATATCGAATTGGCGGCCGATGACGAGTCTGAACTCGAAATTCATGACAAAGAGCGCGAAGTCTTCGAAACGCGTTATTGCACGGTTGTATCAGAAATCAAAACATTTATCAAAAAAACGATAAGAAAGGAGCAATCGCAGGTACGTCATCCCAATCAAATTTGGATAACACGTCAGATGAACTGAACCTTAAATTACCAGTGTATAATTTGCCTGTGTTCACAGGTTCATATAAAGACTGGCTTTCCTTTTCAGACCAATTTAGGTCAGTCATTCACGATAACACTAAATTGGACAATTGCAAAAAATTTTACTATCTTAAGTCTTGTTTAAAAAATGAAGCGCTTAAGGCCGTTGAATCCTTGTCGATTTCGAATGACAATTATTCGATCGCTTGGGACCTATTGACTAAACGTTACGCAAACAAAAGATTAATAGCGCAAGAACATGTTTACGCGATTTTGAACTTTCCGGTTATCACCAAAGCTTCTCACAATCACTTACGCGAATTAATTGACAATGTAACGTCTAACTTAGAAGCGCTAAAGGTATTGCAAGTACCAGTACATAACTGGGATGCGATTATCGTTCCCATTATAACTGAAAAATTGGATCTCTATTCCAGACGGGATTGGCAGGGTCAATTAAACACATCAATTCCCAAATATCAAGATCTGCTCTTATTCTTAGAGAAACGCTTTCAAACATTGGAATCGTTGTGTTATTCAAACAAGCAAGTACTTGCGTACAAATTTTCGAATCAAAATTCCGCGACAAACAGTAAGTCAAATAATTATGCGACCACGACTAATTTGAATAATGGCAATAAGTTAAGGTCGTGTAACCATTGCAGACAAGCGGGCCATTATATCAATCAATGTACAGAATTTACAAATTTGAATATCAATGAAAGACTAAAGGCGGTAGATAGGCTACGCTTGTGTAAAAATTGTTTGAGAGGCAATCATGCGACGGTTGATTGTAAATCGAAGTCGAGATGTAAAAATTGCAACCTAAATCATAACACCTTGATACACGGTGCGAACGATCAGCAAACTTCAACGGTACAACAATCTGAATCGGTGTCCCTCAATTCGTATTCTGACATAAATACTTTGAAATCGGGTATTCTCTCTACCGCGATAATACTAATTATGGATAAAAAGGGTCAATACCAGGAATGCCGCGCCTTTCTTGATTCCGATTCCATGAATCAGTTCATAACATCCGATATGTGTAAAAAGCTTGGTCTCACACGTCAAAAAATAGAAATACAAATTGGAGGTATACCAGGCCACAAGTAGTGTAAATTATTCGACGCAAGTTTCAATAAAGTCAAAATATAATCAATATTCGCAGAACATTAGGTGCTTGATGTTAGACAGAATAACAGAAAATCTCCCAGTTAGTTCCGTAAATCTAGCAAATATAACTGTTCCGAAAAACATTAAATTAGCAGATCCACAATTTTATAGCTCTGCACCGATCGATCTACTGATTGGGGCCGAATTATTAGTACCATTAATGTGTATCGGGCAGATTCATTTAGCGCCGGGGCAACCTCATTTTCAAAAAACACATCTGGGGTGGATCCTTGGCGGTACTATAAATTTGACCAACAATAAAACGAAAGCTTTGTGTCATCTCTCTCACCTCGGTACCGAATTACAAGAGCAGGTAACCAAATTCTTAAATATTGAACATGTTAGGGTTATTGCTGACAAACTCTCACCGGAAGAAAGACAATGTGAAACGCATTTTAGGGACACCGTAAAACGTGATTCACAGGGGCGGTTTATAGTACGACTTCCTTTTAACAATAGCCCACCCGATTTGGGTGATTCAAAACAAGGGACTGTAAAACGTTTCCGTTCTCTCGAAAATAAATTTGCAAAACAGCTGGAATTTAAAGAACAATATTCCGATTTTATTAAGGAATATATCAAAATGGACCATATGGAACTTGTAAACAACCCTAATTTAAAAGACGGAATGTTTTGTTACCTGCCACATCACGCAGTTCTTAAATTGTCGAGTAGTACCACTAAGCTTAGGGCGGTTTTTGACGCGTCATTCTGTACGAATAACGGGAAGAGCTTGAATGACAATTTGATGTGCGGGCCGGTGATACAGGACGATTTGTTCGCCATTTTAACCAGATTTCGTATTCATCGTTATGTAATAACTGCCGACATAGCGAAAATGTATCGACAAATTTTGGTAGACCCGGCAGATAGAGATTACCAATTAATTTTATGGCGCGCACACTCAAATGAAGAACTGAACACGTACCAATTAAAAACACTAACGTATGATACTAAACCAGCCAGTTTTATTGCGACGCGTTGTCTATCAGAATTGGCGGCGCAAAATCAGGACGCTTACCCTGCGGCAAGCACCATAATTGGGAGGGATTTTTATATGGATGACCTATTAACGGGCTCCGAAACGGTGTCGGACTTAATTACAATCCGCGATAGCGTGTCCGCCATCTTGCAGCAAGGTGGTTTTGAATTACGGAAATGGGCGTCGAATGCACCGGAATCACTTCCCAATTTAAATACAAAACCTAAACAAAACTCGATCATAAATCTCGACAATGATAATAATTTAACTAAAACGTTAGGTCTATTTTGGGATTCAAAAAATGATTGGTTAAAGTACGAAGTACAAACGGTTAATGTAAAATCTAGAATAACCAAACGTGTAATCCTGTCAACCATCGCGCAAATTTTTGATCCGCTTGGTATTATCGGACCAGTTATGTTAAAGGCTAAATTAGTACTGCAGAATTTATGGTCTTTAAAAATAGGATGGGACGAGTCAGTACCTCAAGACATTCATTGCGCTTGGGTTAATTTTATCAACGAATTGTCGTACCTGCGGGAGCTACGAATTCCCAGAAGAATTTCAGATTTGAGCAAAATATCGGCCCTCGAATTGCATGGTTTTTGCGATGCCAGCATTAAGGGATATGGGGCAGCGGTATATGTGCGCACGTACAACGGTTCAAATAAACACTCCGTATACTTACTGTGCTCCAAATCACGCGTAGCGCCTTTAAAAACGGTAACGTTGCCTAGACTGGAATTGTGCGGAGCGTTGCTGCTTGCGAGACTCATCTCTGCAGTCAGACAAGCATTGAAAAACGTAAACATAACAAAACAATATCTATGGTCAGATTCAAGGGTAACCATAGCGTGACTAAACGGCAGTCCAAATATGTGGCACACTTTCGTAGCAAATCGCGTGGCGGAAATTCAAGAATTAACTAACATCTCAGACTGGCGACATGTTAGCGGCGAAGAAAACCCGGCTGATCTAGTAAGTCGCGGTCTTCAACCTAGCGAACTTATTAACAATGAATTTTGGTTTAAAGGTCCGACGTGGCTCATGTCAGATTTCGAGCTAACTCTATCGGAATATCCCGATTTTAGCAATATTAACGAAATGCCGGAAAAACGCAAAAATATTATAGTCGCGGCAGAAACAATCATAACACCTTTACCCGTAATGGCAAAAATATCTTCGTTGCGGAAACTTAATCGTGTAATAGCGTATTGCCTACGTTGGGTCGATAATTATAGAAAATCAAAGCGACAAGCGCTAATTCTAACCGGTCCGTTGAAAATCTCCGAATTACAAAAGGCAAATTTCACAATCATTCGGTGGGTACAAAACCAGACATTTGCGACAGAGTTAAATAGTCTCAAAAAAGGAAAACCAATAAGCAGTAAAAGTTCCATCTTAACTTTGAATCCATTTTTATCAAAGGACAATTTACTCAGGGTCGGCGGACGTTTAAGGAACGCTAAATTTAATTTTTCCACAAAGCATCCAATCTTAATGCCCAGTAATCATACCGTGACCAAACTAATCATAGAACAATACCACACCGAAAATTTACACACTGGGGCCGAAGGTACTCTGGCCGCAATAAGGCAAAAATTTTGGATTATCTCACCGCGCAGTGTTATCAGGCAAGTGATACACAGGTGTGTCGCTTGTTTTCGAAATAAACCGCGGAAAACTATTCAAATGATGAGGGATTTACCTGCTCAGAGGCTCACACCAAATCGTCCTTTCTTTGTTTCCGGCGTTGATTACATAGGTCCGATTTTAATTAAGGAGTCAACCGGTCGAGGAAAAAGAAATATAAAGGCATACATCGCAATTTTTGTCTGTTTTGCGACTAAGGCCGTGCAGTTGGAGCTAGTCGGTAATCTTACAACTGAGTCCTTTTTAGGGGCTGTGCAGAGATTAGTGTCAAGAAGAGGTCAAATTCGTCACCTATATTCGGACAATGGTTCTAATTTTGTTGGTGCGGCAAATCACGAAGCGCAAAAGCTTAAGGTATTTTTAAAATCTTCAGATTTTCAATCAAAGGTAATAGGAAAACTAGCAGAGAGGAATATGGATTTTCATTTTATTCCAGCACGATCACCGCATATGGGTGGGTTATGGGAGATTAACGTCAAATCGGTCGAAACTCTGATGAAAAGAACAATTGGGCTTGCACTTTTGACTTATGAAGAGTTGTATACGCTTTTGACGCGAATTGAAGCGATTTTGAACTCGCGCCCTCTCACCCCCCTCAGTAATGATCCTAATGATCTCGAGCCTTTAATTCCCGGACACTTCCTTGCAGGGGAATCTCTGACTGCGGTATTCGAAGACGACATCACCGAAGTCAGCACAAATCGACTATCCAGATGGCAACGTGTAGAACAACTACGCCAAAATTTTTGGCGGAGATGGAACCGCGAGTACATTCTTGGACTGCAGGGGAGGTCGAAGTGGACACGACCGTGTAACACACCAACAGTTGGCTCGCTAGTGCTAATCGTCGAAGACGACGTCCATCCATTACAGTGGAACTTAGCGCGCATTACCGAATTGCATTACGGTAAAGAGGGCTTACCGCGAGTGGCTTCACTAAAGACTAAAAGTGGTGTAACGAAGCGTTCATTTCATAAACTATGTCGCTTGCCGATCAGTACAGAGGACACTAAAATAGTACTGACGGATTACGAGTAATTTCAATTAGCAGGTTTATCGTTGTGTTTAATCCGCATTAGTGTTTGTGTAACCTCCCCGTAGGTTTCCATATTTTTGTATTCAGTCTATATTATGTCGATTCTTGGTTGAACCCTAGAAGGTTTCAAGGTCGGCGGTATGTTCAGGCCAACAATATTGGTCCTCTTGAAGCGACCTTGTGCGCACCCAATCGGGTTTATGGCCCTTGCAGCCTCCTCGGGTTTACCCACCCATTGTATTGTATCATTCGAAAGCGAGACTTAAAACTTGTAACATCTAAACGAAACTTAACAATATATTTGTTGTTGTGTTAAAACGAAGTTTTTATTAATAACGCGAGACTCCCAACGGGTCTCCAAACACTCTGTCACCTGATGCACAGCTGAAACTCGTTAAGTGTATTAACTGCGTAAAACTATTAAAAACTGACAGTACTCAACAAATAAACAGTAATGATGCCGCATGGGATCATAGGTGCCCGGTCGATTTATCTGTTGTTGATAATTTTCTTCTTAAATTGCAATCAATAAATAACTCTTCTGCGAGTAGATCGGTGTTAGAAAACTTAGATATTTCGTCTAAAAGTAATTTTATTACTTCATTATCTGTCAGTGCAGAAGCGAAGTTAATCCAGCTATCTTTTGCGTACACGAATATAGCTTCGCTTGTGGCTAAAATAAATTCTCATAACTTATACCTACTCGATAATAAAACTTCATGCATTGCCACTGCTGAAATTTGGCTGACCGACTCCATCACTAACAGCTTAATAAGTAGACTTACCAAATTATCACACCTATGGTAAGGAAATGGGAGCTGAAGTCTGCATTTTATTAAACAAAAACGACTTTCAAAATTTTAATTTTAATGAACTCTCTCACAATATTAGTTCATCTAGGAGTGAAGCTCTTTTTCTTAATGTATCTTCCAGACCAATTTCATTCTGTATTGTCTGTATATATCGCCCATCTGATTTTACTTGGAAAATGACAAAATTGTAATAAGCGAATTACTGGCATTCTCCAGTCGTTACAATAATCTAGTTATCTGCGGTGATTTTAATTTACCTGACATCAAATTACCCGTTTCACACGTACCCGAAGGTAATAATGTCAGTTCACTTTTCGTTGAAATGTAGGTATTTAAACTCCAATTATAGTCAATTGGGGAATGAACCTACTCCTTCTACTCTAGATTTAGTCTTAACTAATGACACTTCTCTGATATCAAATATTAATATTTCCTCTCCTATGAGTATCTCTGACCACGCTTTAATAGAAACTTACATTTAGATTACAAGTATTTCTTCTCCAAAAGTTACTAGAGAACCGGATAAGAGATTACAAACAAGTGGCATTTACCCTTGACCACCTGAAGGGGATGATTTATACACTATTTTTGATGTACACACATTATGGAATATATTTAAGAACACCATGGATTGTGGGGGAATTACTCAAGCGCGTTAAGTACAAACGGAAGTTATGGCGTAAACATAAATTTACAAGATATACTCAAGATTTCAAAGCACACCGTGATTTCTCTAATACCCCGAGTAAAGATCTAAATAATGCCAGGCAATCATATGAAAACTCCATAATAAAAAGAGGAACCAAAGCAGTATATAACTACACAAAACGTAAGCTCTGCTGTAAAGCTTATCTGTCAATTTTAAAAAATAATAGCGGTCAATAGTGTTAAACAAACTCTGAAGCTTTAGCACAATTTTTTGAAAGTATCTACATATTGCAGTGAAAGTCTGTGCAATTTCCCTAAGACACTATTAGCCAATTGTGCACCACTTGTATGGAAAATATTGAAATAAATGATGCAAATATTTATCGTGAACTGCTAAGTCTTTCTGAAAACAGTGCTCCTGGACCCGATGACATTTCAGCATCTTTTTTGAAAAGATATGCACTTCAATTATCCAAACCACGTACGCATATAATTTCATAATCTTTACTTTCCTCTATTATTCCGTCTGATTACCGACCTATTAGTCCAACATCCGTCTATTGCAAAGTCATGGAAAGGATTATCTGCACACACCTAATTCAGTTCGCGGTTAATAAAGGAATAATTCCAAGACAGCAACATGGCTTTCTGCCTGGTCATCCCACTGTTAGGTACGTGTCTCCAGTTTTGTTTAGATAAGTGAATTCAAGCTGCTGATGATGGTAAATCTGTTGATGTTATTTAGATAGATTTTCACAAAGCTTTTGGCAAGTTCCCTAATCAAAGACTTATACATAAATTAACCAACTGGGGATTAGAGGTTATATTTTAAAATGGATATCCACGTTTCTATCAGATCATTATTTTTTTGTCAAAGTTGGAAAAATCTATCCCGTCATGTCTGGTGTGCCACAGGGATCCGTTCTCAGCCCTGTTCTATTTGTATTGTACATATCACACCTAAACCGTCTTTTAAAGTCTGCTCATGCTTTATACGCTGACGATCTTAAAATATTCAACAACCCTACCAGTAATCGTGATACCATCGCTGACGACTTAAATGTAGTGCCACAATTGTGTGATTTCTGGTTAATTCCAGTTAACAAAGAAAAATGTGCGTAACAAATCCTTGAGTAAATTCCCGCATTGGGAAAGTTTCTATCAGAAACGTTGACAAATATTACGATCTCGGTATCATCAATCTATTACACTGAAAAAGGCTAATAGAGTAATACTTATATCTGCTTTCCAAAGCTTTTAAAACCTTATCGAAAGAATTATTTCTGATTCTTTACAAAGCTTATGTTAGACCAGTAATGGAATATGGGTCTATACTTGGTGGCTTACTGCGTGGTCATTGATAAAGCTAACCTATGAAATGTATAAATCGCGGTCTCGGCACAATTTTTTAAACAACGGGGTTTTTAGTGCATGGAACGCTCTACCGGCAGATCTTATTGAATCTGAAAGCGTTAACACTCAAAACTAAGGTGCACCTCAGTCATGCGTTAGCATGAGATTCATAAAATAATATCTAAATTAAAGTCTATATTATATATTCCGTGAGCTTAGTAGGCTATAGCCTCAGCGCAAACCACAATAATAATATTAATAATATTAATAACACAACTAATCACTCTCTAATTTTAAATTTAAAACGAATTAATCCGTTCTCTCGAAAATGTGGGAATTCAGTAATGTTGCCCCCGATTATATTTAATAGCAAAAGTAATAAAGTATTATTATAATAATATTATTCAGAACATTGTGCTCCATTGTAGCTTAATTAACAAGTTTAGTCCTCTGTTTTGAGGAGACAAACACATTCTAATCAATAGTGTACCATTTGCGCCACCGGTTTTCATTTTATATTAAAATTAAATTTTAAAATTTTTCAAAGCAGCGGAATGTATTGGACTGTACTTAAAGGGCGAGGGAAGTTCTGTCCAAATAACCTTCGCCCAATTTTTTTTTTTTCATTTTTTAAATTCTTCAAGTAACATTCTCATGATTTTTACTTCCCGAGCGTAAGCGAAGGAAGTATTGTAATCGAGTCCGTCGGCCGACTCTCTACTTTTACGTTTTCTCGAGCTTTCATGACCCCTAGAGTACGAAGAAATAGGTCTCCCGTTTCCGTCTGTCTGTCCGTCTGTCTGTCTGTCTGCTGTCCGTCTGTCTGTCCGTTTGTCTATCCGTGTGTCTGTCCGTTTGTCTGCCGTCCCGGATTTTTATTAGACAGATAATCTTCGAAAGTACTGAGCCGATTGTTGTCAAATTTTGTATTTATGTTAAAAATTTCATATAGATGGTAAAACGCTAACCAAAAGTTGTCTAATCATCCTCATCAATAATGTGATGACGACGCTTCAAAATTGTACATAGTAAATGGGTTTTAATTTGTATAAAATCACATATTCCTACACATGTAGTTTATGACTGCGAATTGAGTTTTTACCCAAGACCTCCAAATTTTTGAAAAAAAAAATCAAAATTATCAAACAAGATTTTGCCATTTAATTTGGAGTCTTCAAAACCGAATGCTTTGAAATCTTGCAGATGATTTAAGGTTATGATAAGCATGATAAATTTTTAATGAAAATATATTTACTTATCCCCTCCAAAAAATTGATGACATCACCCCTAAACTTGGCTGAACAAATCCTATCTAAATTGTACAAAATATGATGAGTCTGTACTTGTAATTTATCATTCCATTCATATTTTTTTGATTTGCATATACACGGTGACTCAAAAAAATTAATGAATGCGTGAATTTATTTTATTGATTTAATCAGGAACTAAAAAACCGAATGCTTTGAAATTTTGGAGATGTTTCAAAATTATCATAAGCATGGTAAATTTTTGATCAAGATGTATCTTTTTATCAACCCCCAAAAAATTATGAGGTCACCTCAAAATTTTGCCCAATATATCCTGTCTAAAATGTACAAACTATGATGAGTCTCTACTTGCAATTTATCATTGCGTTTATATTTTTTAGATTTGCTTATGCAGGCTTACTCAAAAAATTTAATGAATCAGTCAATTTATTTTATTGAAGAAATCAAGAATTATTGAAGTCATCTCAAACTTTTGCCGAATAAATTCAACCCAAAATGTGCTAAATATGATGAGCTGTGAATTATCGTTGCATTCATATTTTTTAGATTTGGTTATACAGGTGGCTCAAAAAATTAATGAATGAGTCAATTTATTTTATTGATTAAATCAGGCTACTCCATTTTCCCAGAAAATTTTGGGAATACAATACTATTATTTTTAGTATTACGTTGCACCAATGTTGATATACATGTCCTTGCAAAAATGTTGATGGCGTCATCACAGGATTGTGTAAAGAAAAAACTCAACTCGAAAATGCTGGATATGTTTCATTGTATTTCAGGAACGAGGGAAGTTCTGTGGTAACAACTTTCGACCAATTTTTTGTAAATGAAATAAAGCGGCATATAGTGCGTCTGTTTTAAGAATTCCATAGTCTTGTAAAACCGCAACAAATAATACTTCTCAAACGTTACTACTTT